AAGGATGGGGGGGGTATGTGCTCCCAGATCTGCATGAAGCAGGGCAAGGAGGGGTGGGGTGGCTGCCACTGCAGGCTGGGACTGGGGGAGCGGTGGGCTCTTCCTGGTGGGGGCTGGGCTGGGCTGAGCTCAGGGCAGGCCGCGGTTGCTCTGGGAGGAGAGATTGAGGAGGCTACAGAAAATTTTGGGGTGGCTGCAACCCCTCCCATAACCTTCTCCGAGCGCCGCTACCACCGACCGCCCTGAAAACAGCCCAGCCCAGCCCCTGCCAGGAAGAGCCTGGCACAGCTCTGGCCCCAGCCTGCAGCAGCAGGTGCCCTGCCCCACACAGATCCAGGGGAACACACCCCTCCCCATGCCCTCCTGGGGTGCGTGCAGCAGGGGGAATGACCTCCCTTCCCTGCACCCCCTGGATGAGCCATGTCTCGGTCCCACACCCCACCCCACCCCAGGCTGGGCAGCATTTACCCCAGCCCCAGCCCCACTCCCTCCCCACTGTGGGTGGTCTTGATCTGCCCCCCCCCAACACCCCTTCCCTCATCCCTCCCCCTCTACAACAACAGACTTACCAGCTGCATACATCTCTCCACGCTGTATCAGAAATTGGATTGATATCCTCCTTATAAATTGGCTATCGGAATCAGTCCCAAAAATGTCTATTGGTGTACCCCTACAAGTTTTATGTCCACTACATACACAAAGGAGAAATGGGTAGGGGGGAAAGGCAGCTAATGACATGTTTAATGTCATTACATCATCACAGTTATATACAGCTGTTTGGGGGGGGGTTTAACCAGTAGCAGCCCTCTAGTCAAATCTAAAAACAGGCTTACAAAGAGAAGCTTGTTTTCAACCTTCACTGACCCACAATTCTCCAGAGAAAAACTAGTTTCCCCTGGTGCTTTAGATGACACATCTAACCCCAGGGGGAAAACATTCTGGAAAGTCTGGAAAACAATCAGAAAAGGGTCTGAAAACTATTGAGCAAGATCCTGAGACCTAACTTTTTTGTACCCTGTAATTATCTGGAGGGGGCTGCAGAGGTGGGAAATAATGTGGAACAACCAGAGGTTACTTATTAGTAAAAGACAATACTAACTTCGTTGAATCCTTTGCTGCTTCTGTATCTCCAATCCCTTGTAAATGCCAGAGGGCTCCCTGAATCCCTCCAGTCTGTCCCATAACCTCTCTGTGCCAGCCTCCTATCACCCTAAGTTTCCTTACAACCACCCCATGCAATTCCTCCAGACAGGAGCCCCGTCTCTCCTTCCTCCTCAAGTTGGGAACTGTCCGTTCCTATTTCCCGCCTCCTACACCTAAGCTAGGGGTTCTGTGTCCCCCCCATAGCCCTTCTGCAATATGCCAAGGACTGAATGACCTCCCAAGTCTCCGTACCCATATAAAACTAACCAATACCAGAAGCTCTGTGTGACTCCTCATTTTCCCTTTTCTTCTTCTGTCAGGTGTTCTGTTTGGGCTTCCTTTTCCCAGTCCAGGGTAATCAGTTCTTCCCACACTATAGCAGGGACTCATTCTAGCATTGCTCCCAAACCCCTGCACCCATTTTTTTTTCTTTCTGGTTGGGAGCTAAGCTACAGTGGTGGACTGATGGGGTGGGGGGTGCGGCAGGGAGCCATGACCCCCGGGCACTGGCCGGGGGAGGCGGGGGTTGGCTGTGTCCTTCAGAGTTCTTATTGCGCGACATGACCAGGGCCGGCCTGTCCTATCTGCAAAACCTGCCCACCCCCTCTCTGGGTTGGATGTTTAGTTACCTGTTCCAGTCAGAAAATCCTGCTGCCACCCCTCCTACCCCCCCACCCCCACCCCCCATGTCCAGTGTGCCAGAACTTTCATTTCCTTTCTGGCCGAAACAAGTAACCAAAGAGGGCCAGGGTAGGAAACTTTAAGTATTGCTATAAGAAGTGGGGGGGACGGGGCACAAATGCAATCATTGGCCCCCAGGCACTGGAGACCCACAGTATGTCACTGCTAAGCTGTTCAACATGCCAGCGCATTTAAACCATACTGAGGAGGCTCATAGTTGAGATGGGGATAGAAAATGATTTTCTTGTCCCATTAAAATGTTCAGTCTTTTTAAAATGCTTCTCATTCCTTATCAGGATGAAACTGAAACTTTTCAAACTATTTTCACCAAGCTAGAGGGAGGTAAGGTCCAGTGGTTAGGGCACTTGGCTGAGATGTAAGAGATCTGGGTTCAAAGTACAGCTCTTCCTGATTGAGACTGGGGGCTTGAATCCAAGTCCACAAATCTCAGTTAACTAACCTAACCACCTGTCCAGGGGAAGAGCTGATGATAGGTACAAATTATTAGAGTCCTTGTAGAACTGGCTAGATATCTTAGCTCTTCATTTCCAGGCTCTCTAAAATGTTGTGCCCAAGACAAGTCGCATGTTCAGTTGAGCAAAACTCTTAATATTTCTCTCCTTTTGAAATATATATATATTTTTTAATGTCTAGAGGATCCGAGATTTAGAAGATAAAACTGACATCCAAAAGAGACAGATCAAGGACCTGGAGGAAAAGGTTGGTTGTGCTACTTTCTGAAAGAATCTGATCTGCTTCCTTTCGTTTGAATACATATTTTAGACTAAATTTAACACCTGATGTGCTTATTTGACTGGACTATATTAGTGTGTCTCTTTCTACTTCACTTTCTTTCCATTTAGTGTCTTTCCAGATTATAATGCCAAGATTTCTTCCTTTCTCCAAACTCTCCATTCACTTTAGGAAATAGCTAGTTTCTATTAAATTATGAATATCTTGTTCTAAATCTGACTCAGATAGCCAAAGATTCAGAGCTAAGTGCTGAGGCCCTTATTCTGTTATCCTGCAGTTATTATTCTGTTATCATGCAGGCAAAAATGACATTTAACACCACAGTTTTGCCAGGACTGAATGAAATGGGTAAAAATTTCAAGCTTGTGCCCTTTTTCCCTGCAAGTTCAATGGAAAGATTCTAATACTATTACCCCTAATGAAGTCAACCAGGACTGCAGGATGGACGTTGGCCTTATGTGAATAGTAACATCAAAAGAAATGGCAGATATTATGCTTTTATACAGTAATGTAATATAATTTTGTCTCTGAACCAGACAAGTACTACAGTACAAAGTTTTGCAAGCAGAGCTGGGTCAGGAAAGTAAAAAATAAATAAATTGGGCTCTAACCAAGATAGCTGTGCTGGCAATATCCACTGTGTTGATACAAGAGTCCTGTAGCTCATTCAGGAAAGTGGTTTAACTGCACCAGCAACAGAATTCCTTGTACTGGTGTATTTTCACTTGAAAGTTTTAGTGCTACTGACAGTGTAAAATAGCTACACATGTAAAAGGTCTTCACCACATAGACTAGCTCTCAGAATTTGGGTTAGATTCATGTCAGAAACGTCTATGCAAAGTTGCTGTAAAGAATAGAAAGACTTCCCAAACAGCAGCCAGATAATTCAAAGTTTTCTGAGTATAAATAGCCCCATGTAGTGTGCTTGATGACAAAACTAACCCAGCTATTGCTCTACATGATTACTCTTGTTTTAACAACTTCCTTCAAACTACCTCTAAAAAGCGTATAGCCAGTCTATAAGACAAAAGCAGAGTAAAGAACAATCTCTGAGGCATTGAAACTTGGATAGCTTCCAACTTTTTGCCAAAGAAAATCTAGTCTGTCAGAATCCTTATAATGGAATAAAGATATCTATTAACTCCCCAGTAGCACGTTTGTCTCCTTTTTCTCCCTTTGCTGCACATTTCTAATGAATGTTAATAGAAATCAAAGGTACGTCAGAGATTAGATAAAATATTTCAGAGCAGAGAAGGGATGTAATGTCAGGGCTGTAGTACATCAACATCCACAACAAAAAAACAAAGCACAATTTATGACGTGGTCCAATGGAGAACTAAGATGTTGGACATTTTATGTTTAAATTTCAAAAAGGAAATCAATCCACAGAAATTGCCATCTTGGAACATGAAACATAAATACCATATTTACTCAAATACAAGACAAGGTGTTTTCCCTTCAAATGACATGGGGGGGGGGGGGAAGCTCCCCATCTTATAGTTGCATATAAGGAAAATCTCAAATGCATTGTCTATTATTAAACTTCTGTCAAAAGCAACACATAGTCATGGAAACCAACTATGAAGTTGATTTAAATGCAGTCAACAAATGCTGTATAGCATGGCTATAAAATATGTAGCCAATATGGCACAAACAAGCTGATGGGAACCTACCACAAGGATAAATTAGTGCAGCTTATCTAAATAAGATATGGAAGTGCCCAGTAGATGCAATAATCCCCATCAGTGCTGACTCTTTTTCAAGTCATGGTGAGCTACTATATTGCATACATTTTTACTTCGTCTTCATTCTCACAGCTGAGCTGTGCCTTTCTTTCCCATTTCCAATCATTCCTTTTCTTCACCAGCCTTAAATGTCTGGCAAACATCACCAAATGGGGCCCCAACCAGTTTACCTAGAATTTTTCTGTTGCCCCTCTCTCAGCCTGTTACATATGATTAATGTGGCCCCACCATCCATGAGGTGTGTTGCTCTGCACCTCACCTGCATAGAAATTTTTGGAGGATCCCAGGACTCATGACAAGAACCCCCAAATCCAGTCATGAGTCGGGGGGCTAACGTATCTGGAGTACAAACACATACTGGGCAGTGCTAAGCTGCGAGGTCACCATGACTTGAAGTGCTGTTGGTTGTGCTGGGGCCCAGCCCAATGAACTATGTGACTTTGGACTAATATCAAGTAGAATTTGCATTATACTTAAGTAAGTACAAAAGTGCTGCTTAAAGGTGTGTTTATGGAGTACCCGTGCTAAAACTTGCAGCAGTTTCAAGAAGGTAACATGTCTCAATTCTGGATTTTCTAAGTCTATGGGTACTTTATGAAAATGTCTACAGGCTAGAGGATATTGCTGCTCAGCTCAGGGTCAGACCGATTGCCATATTTGAGGTCAGGAAAGAATTTTACCCCATGTTCAGATTAGTATAGACTGTGGGGGTTTTGCATGCCTATGTAGTGTGGGGTGTGGCCCTCTACCCAAGACCTTGTGTGTGTATATTGACAACATTTTATAGAGGCAAGACATTGGCTGCCACAGTTCCCCTGCTTTACTTGTGGCAGGTTAAGGTGTTATGTCTCTTTTGTGTCAGGGTTGAGGGTAATCCTATGTAGAGTTTAGATTATGGTTGTATAGGATAGCTTGGAGAGAAATGTTCCAGCCAAAGGCAGGGGGTTGGGTTAGATGACTTCTGGAGGTTCCTTGCAGCCCTACTTCTCTATGACTCTATGTTTATTGCAAGGTCAGCATTTTCAGATTTGCCACTCATTTTCATGTGCTCAAGGAGAGCAGGGGCTGACAGTAAGAAGCAGGGGAACAGGTTGCAGTGGAGAAAGTTGGGAGGGAGGGGCCACCTGACCCCTCAAGATTTATTTTCCCCCGTATAGCAGTGGGAAGGGGGAAAATTCAAGGCCAACTTCCAATCATTAGATTCTATATCTCAAATAAATAACAAATGTATACATTTTTCCATATATAAAATCTTATTCGTGGGGGGGGGTTGTCTTATATTCAGGATTGTCTTATATTTGAGTAAATGTGGTAGATAATAAAGGGTATCTAAGGAACAATAATTCAAAGGACCTGTTCTGGTAAAGATCACTTTTATAGATCTTTTAAAGATCACTTTTCAAGATCACCACAAATTCATAATCCTGGTACATTTGCTAGTATGGACTGGAAGCATCATTTTCAAAACCATGTGGCAGATGCGCCTAAATCAGCATAGTTTTTTATTTCAGTGAAGCTACATTGATTCCTATCACAGTAGATCTACCATTACGCTTCTGAATGGTGGGTCTTTCTAGACTGGGAGAAGGGGTTATATTTGCAGGAGTAACTAGGGGGGAAATGTTTTCTGTACACAGAATAATGTCAGGTCTTATGCTAATCTGAGTATAGCATTGTTGCTTGATTTGCTCATTACTAACTCTGATCCATAAAACCCTACAACAACTTTTATATCTTATTCTTATTTTTCTTCTGCAGTTTCTGTTTCTATTCTTGTTCTTCTCTCTTGCCTTTATTCTTTGGCCTTGATGTCAATGTGCCTCTTGGAAAGGTAAGGCTGTTTGATTTATTGTCATGAAGCTAGCATTTGTTGCACAGATTCTTATGAACTGAGGGGCAAAACCTATAAATAATCCTGGGTTCAGTGACTTCAGTAAAGCTATGTCAATTTACAGTAGCTGAGGAGCTAGCCCCAAGTCTCTAAGCTTATGTAGGTTATAAAATGAAGAATAAGTGTCTTGTGGTTAAGACGCATAACTATCCAACAGAGGACAAATTTAGTGGGTCTCCAAGTTTTGTTGCCTCCAAGTTGGGGTACTGCAAAGGGGAAGACACTTCACTGTTTTCCATAGTTTACACTGGTTTGCAATTCATTTCCAGGTGCAATTCCAGGGGGTGGATGTAGCCACATCAACTTAACTTTATTCCTTTCTTGGCTAGAAAGAGACTAAATTGGGTATGATTAAACAGGGAGTGAAACAAATAAACCCAGAGGGAAAGTTAGGTTCTGACTTGTCAAAACAACCTTTGTCTCTTTCAAGTAGTTTCCAGTCCCATTACAGAGTTGCCACCACTTAAAATATGATGTTCTGCTACAACAAGCAGTATTTAAGGAGCATAATTCAGTACTGTGATATCATCATAATTGACTAGAAGTTCCTGAGCACGACTTCTGAAACAGTGACTTAGTGCAGGAGTAGAAAGATGTGCTGAGGTAGCCCATAACTACTGCGTATTTGGATTTTACAGTTTTGTGTGTGTGTTCTGTGCAGAAATTAATAGGAAGTTGGAAATTTCAAAAGAACTTTCGTTTTAATGGTCTGGATCTGATTTTTAAAAATGGCTTTCCTTTGTGAGCCAGCAAATAATATCAGGAAGAAATAATGTTGTCTGAATGGCTGAGTGTTTGACTGTGTCCAAAATAACAAAAATCAAGTTTCGGGGCTGTTAGACATCAGGACTCTTGGACATATATGAACCAAGAATTCACGGAGTAGTCAAGATAACAGACATTTTTGCAAATACCATTTTCAATTCATCCAGGTTTTCCTTCTGAGCAGCGTAATCTATATGCACTTACCCTATTTCCAAATCCAGATGCACTTACCCTATTTCTACTTGCAAGAATCTGTGTCAAATGGAGAGATGGAAACAAAGCAGGTATATGCACAGAATCAGGAGTTACCCCCATCCCTATCAAACCTATTATTTTTTTCTGGTGCAATTTGCTTCCACAAAACTTGCATATGCATTTCTGGGCAAAATTCAGTTCCATTATGGAATGTGAATATTCCCACCTCCAGACAGGATGGTGGGAGCAGGAAGGGGTAACATTGGAGAGCTTATATCTATCCAAAAGCAGGTTTAGCCCTAACACTAAAATTGTACCTTATGAACTGTCAGGGGCTTATTTTGATTATGTTTAAAAATGCATATCTGAAAGCATATTGCTACCATCTGTTTTCTTGCTTTTTCTAATGTGTTCCGAATTTAGAGTCTGCCCTGACATTGCAGAACCTTGTTGCATAGAGCGCATAGCACATAACACTACAGCTGATCAGGAAAGGGCTTTTCTTCCTGGCCCTTTTTTGGTGGACATGTTTTCATTGTCATCAACATTTGTCTTTATGGTTGTCAATTAAAAAGAAAATTCCAAAATACAAACAGAAATCAGCCATTTTTTTTTTTTTAGTCAAAGCTCCAAGATGTAAAAAACGCATCCAGAAATTTTTCATTTTAACAGATAAGCCATTTTCATCAAAAAACAATGTTTCAAATGAAAAATGTCAACCCTCCTCTAATCAGCACTTAGCATTGAGAAATTCCAACTCCCGGTGTGAGGAGATTAATGAATATTTCATGAGACTGTCCATATGTTGTTTGTGCACCACAAGGAAGCAAGGAAGGGAGGGGAACATTAGTGGGTATAGAAATACGATAGCAGACTGAACAGAATTAATGTTTCAGAGAATGGTTTTCAGAAGCTGTGGATGTAAGCTCACATTCTTAGGAATACACGTTCCCTAAAATAGAAAAGTGCCTACAGTTTTTAAATGAGCCTCCCACTATCTCTTTGTTGTCTCAGGGTGGAAGTACCAGTAATCTAAAACACCCTCTAAAATTCAATGGCTGCTTGCCAAAAGAAACTCTTCAGAGGGTATTTGTATGCATAGATTACACAGTGACTTTCAAATTAGTCTCCTAATTATTTCCACAACATATTCAAAGTCATTCTGAATTCCTGTTCACAGTTGCATCACCTCCTCCCTCTGCTCAGACGAGGAGGCGAAAACACAGATATATGGGAAGTAAATCTTAGAAGCGAAGATAAATGCTTTGTAATCACTCTGTACAGGAGTCGTGTTTATGCCATAGTGACTTATGTGTATGGCTTGTCTATCATGATAGGCAGTGATTGGCTAGAGAAAGCTAATGAGGGTGTTTAAGATTACCAGTCTAGTAAAGATCAATCAAAAGGTTATCATTTCAGTTCACCTGAACACACACATAGAAGCCCTGTAACCTATTAGTGGCCCATCCCTGCTACCCAGGCCATTCAGACAATCACAAGATATTTGCTGCAATCAGATGCAATGGTTTGGCATTCCAGCTGCCATATTTCATGACTTATTGATACTTTTGACCCCAGCCCCAGCCAAATCCTGGCCCAGCTTCAACCCAACCTTTTTCACCTTCCAAAAGAATCCCTGTCACTGGAGACCATGGGGCTTGTGCCCAGCCCAAGCACAGCTGGAGGGCCTTGCCATCACTATGAAGATGCTGCTCGGCTGGGCACTGAGCCTGGCCCCAGCCCCTGCAAGCAGCACTACCTGGGCCATGCCAGCTGAAAGCCAAGCCCAGCCCCATCCCCTGCAAGCAATGCCGGGTTCAGCGCACTGCTGGCACAGCCCAGGCAGCGCCACTCACAGGACACGGGGCTGGGCTATTTTCACAGCTGAGCAGCATCTCCGTAGTGTGCTTGCAGGGGATGGGGCCGTGCCAGCCGAGCGTTGAGCCTGGCGCTGCTCGCAGGGGATGGAGCTGGGCTCAGCACTTGGCTGAGCAGCTCAGGCAGCACCGCTCACAAGGGATGGGGACGGGCTCGCTGCTCAGCTGGCGCAGCCCCATTCCCTGCAAGTGGCACTGCCTGGACCATGCCAGCTACGCCCGGCCCCTGTGAGCAGTGTTGCAGCATGTGTCCAACCCCCGGGTGTCTGGCCCACAGTGAGGGTGTGCAGGGACTGGTATAAGTCAACTCCATTTTTCTGATCCAAAAAGTTAGGAATGTCATAGATCTGGTGTACAAGTCAACCTAACTTTTTGGATCAGAAAAATGGAGTTGACTGATACACCATGTCGACCTGTACACTGTGAAATACAGTCTGTAAAGCTCAGATCTACCTCAGTGCTGGGATTGGCTGGAATTATGATCCCAGTGAAAATCAGAGCAGTTTCAAGACTGACTTTTAACTCGTTACCTAAAGCAGTATCTTTGGTACCACACACTTCACCCTCCTTTATTTTAACATATTTCCCATATCCTCAGATTTTACAATAGGATCAAATTTACCTGCCATAAATCAGTAGAAACTTCACTGAGGTAACCAGAGCTATTCTATATATTGCACCAGAGTAACAGCAGAGTTTGACTAAATGAAGTTATTCTGGATGGAGTAGCCAGGATTTCCATTACCTGTTAGGGGACTGTACAAGTCTAGGTAATTACCTGAAGTTGCAATCTAGACAGTCTCATTTGATTAGATGTTATTTGGGCTTTTTTTTCATCCCCCTTTTCTTCATGTTTGGGTTACATGTTTGGGATACTGCCATAATAATGACAGTTATGGCAGTATCTGTCATTGCCAGCATTTCCCATCAAATGAATGAATCCCCATTTAAAGTGTCAGCCAGCCAGTCAGTCCCAAGGCCACACCAACCGTTGGGGGACCTTTGATGTAGCATTCGAAGTGTAGACTTGTTAATTTTTCCTAAATCATATTCCACACCTGTCTTCCTTCATATGAAGGGGAAGAAATAGGGAGAGAGATTTAGCTGAACTGGAAAGAAGCAAAGTGGATTTTCCAGTTTGGATTTTCCAATCATAGGGAAAAAGAAAAATTACAAAGTGAGGGGAATGTAAACTCAGGGCTTTCCAAAAGGGTTTCCCCTAGTTTGTTTTCTTAAAAATCTCAGACTCTGAAAGTCACTAATGAGGTGCTCATCTGACAGCCACCTCAAGTCCTTTCAGCTGGTTTGGCTGTTTAGGATTGAAGAGATGGCAACCTTCCTAAAATTAAATAAGAAGAAACAAATCCTAATGCTGGCTGTTATGCTGGGTCCTTCTCTAACCAAGCTTTGACTTTTAAAAAGGCTTGGTAGCATCTCCCACTACAGCCAGAATTTCAGAAAGCTTGTTTCCCCCTGAAATCTAAGAGAAGTGGTCAGATTTTCACAAAAAAAATGCTTAAAACAGTGAAGATCCCAGTGTCCTTGGTGATGGGTCATGAGGAAACAGGGGAGAATTCTCCACCAACAGGAGTTGCCAGGTGCTGTAGAGTGCATGTTCCTGCCTTAGTTTCCCCACCTGTAAAATGGAACAATACCTTCCTCTCAGGAGGTGAGTTGATTAACAAGCTTACAGCCAGAAGGAACACAAATCTACAGCAGCAAAGTGTTACACCCAAGGGAGATTCCCCCTTTCTATTGTTTACAGTGCTACCTTCTTGCACAAGAAAGGCAGCTGTACATAGTATTTGGGGATGCAGAAATATCACATTGATG